AGCTATAGCATATGCTACTTGTTTTTCTCTGACTTACTTCAATCAGCATGACAATCTCTAGGTCCATCCATGTTGCTGCAAATGGCACCAAATATCACTTTCTCAGGAATGTATTTCCTGACTCTCCCAGTCAGAATCAATTGAGCACTGAGTGTTCCATCAATATTTGGGGCTCACTTTGACTATAGCACTGGTCCCTTATTGTGGGTGTGTAATGCAGTCTTCATCGCCCCAGCATCTATACTATGAGTCCCTACAAAGTAGAATTCTTCTTTACCATCTCCTAACTCATAGAAAGCATTAAAAAATAATTATGAAGTTCAGAGGTTAAAAAGGCAGGCCGCCATAATCAGAAGTTTCTCCCAGCAACTGCACACATAGAATTTTTCTGTTTGAATACATTTGGTGCTACCATTGAAAAAAATCAGTAGAGTAATAACAGCAGTGAACAATGAAGAGAGCTGGAATCAGAATGAAAATAATATGGTAATGGTGAAAAAAACAGTGGTGACTGTGCAATGGAATTGCCAGTAAAAATGAGCATATAATGATTGAAATGTGGAACTAGTCACAAAAAGAATTGTGAGGGTAATGTGGGAAATGGTTTAAGAGGGGCTTATGAGGGAAGTAGAACTTGTCAGCTTTTCTATGTAAGAATAATAGGTTTTAGAAGATGGCATACGGGGAAATGTCTCCTGGGGAACACAAGCTCAGCCTGCTGGGCACTCAGCCTAGGGTTGTTGATTGTCATTAGAAGCAGGCAACCTGTGGGTTGGTTTTTTTTTGTTATACATGTGATTGTGTGCGTATTAACTGCTTGACCCATGTCACCATTATAAATATCACAAGAATTACTCAAAATATCTATTTTTTAAATACGTTAAAAAAATGAATCATCACAGGAAGTGCATAGGCATGGAATAAAAGAAAATGGAACAATGGAATTAGCATGACCTTTGGGAGTTGAAATCCACCAGTTCTGCTCCACCCTAGCTGTGTGATGTTGGAAATCCTACTTCACTTATTTTAGGTGTTTCCCCTTTAAAATGGAGGGAGCCACTCCTTTCTCATAAGGCTGTTAAAAAAAAATAATAAGCTAAAACAGTAGGTTGGTTCTTCTGTTCTTTCTTGTAAAAAAATCGATTGTTTTGGTCCAAATAATAAGAGTCAGTAGCTGGTTCTAATTTTTCCTAGTTTTAAATGAACAGTCATGAAAAGCAAATACTATAACACATTGAACTTGAATTTCAAGTTCAATACACATCTCATGCTTCTTCATTTCACTGTGCAATGCAGCAGCTCCATTACAAACCGCTCATGACGTCGCTGTGATCTGAATGTTTACTAACTTTGGGTCTGAAGTCTAGCATCTTTTAATCTGCTATTTTTATGTTAAACATATTTAAGGATCAAATAAAACTGATCACTTAGGGAAACCTTGCTCTCCCTTTGCTCTTTTTCCTGTCTCCTCCAATTTCCTAGATAGTCTTTGTTTGTACTAAAATGCTTATCTCAAAAGTTATCTGCATAATTCAAATGAAGTAAACAGTGGACAGGTTTTTATTATGAATTAGCTGTGTAACTGCAAGCTAGTTACCTGAATTTGCTCAACTCTTGGCTTCCTAATCTGTAAAATGGGCATAATTGGACCTACACAATTCCCAGGTCCTGATAAGGGATCAGAAATGTGACACAAATGTACTTTGTGTAAGGTAAATGAGTAAGCCAAGGCTCTAAATTGACTTAGGATAAATACCTGGAAGCTATATTTCTGGTCCTAAGGACATGTATATTTTTAAGGTTTTTGATATATATTAGCAAATTATTCTCCAAAAAGCTTGAGATAAGTATATGGCTAAATGAGAATGTCTGTTTTTTTCTCCCAAACTAATGCTAAATTTTATTAAATAATTTCAGCAATTAGCATTTTGTGTTGTTTCATCAAGCATATTTGATAAAAACCAATAACCATAGTCCCAACTGCCAGTGGAAAGTCATCTCACATGAATAATGGCTCTATTATCAGGAACGGAGGGCCTAGACTCCTGTACAGGATACATCTATTAGGTCTTGAAGGGTTTGCCCTCAGCAAATAAGGGAGAAATCTGTATTACTTCAGGTCCAACGTACCAACAAAGGTCAAGGTTGAAGCTGCCTCAGGCAAAATGCCTCTGCTCACCCACCAAGAAGAGTTGATTCTTTGAAAATTAGCTCATCAGAGTCTTGTAGAAATGGTTGTAGAGGCAGTTCATAGGCTATGAAGACCAGTCTAAAGGCCAGATCTGCCGTTAACCATGTTGAAGCCTTTAAGAAGGTTGCTTAAGTCATCTGGAACTCAAGAGAGCCTGACTAAGTAATCTCTCAGCCCTTCCAGGCTCTGAAAATATCTGAATCTATAGTTTGAGGTTTAATTACTCTTATAAGAATAATTAACTCTAAGTCATATCTCACATAGGATTGTAATTCATTCAACCCAATAGTCTGTCTGAAGCAGGTACCAGAAGATGCTTTTTAGGATGTTTTATTCATTTATTCCTTTATATATTATTTATTCTCCTTAAATAATTTTCAGTAAATAATAATAAATAAATAAATATGGAAAAATTAGTTAGGCAAAATTAGGACAAAAAACAAGAGCTGGGTTTCCCTGGTGGCGCAGTGGTTGAGAGTCCGCCTGCCGATGCAGGGGACACGGGTTCGTGTCCCGGTCCGGGAGGACCTCACATGCGACGGAGCAGCTGGACCCGTGAGCCATGGCCGCTGAGCCTGCACGTCCGGAGCCTGTGCTCCGCAACGGGAGGGGCCGCAGCGGTGAGAGGCCCGCGTACCGCAAAAAAAACCAAACAAACCAAGAGCTGAGGATAGGGCAGGTTGAAAAAAACTGTACGTAAAGATAACCACTACAGTAGAATGCTCAGTTTAGCTCTGAGCTTCCTGGTAGGCAAGGCAGAAAGAGCAATGCAGTCAACCTCAATAGATCTATGTCTCAAAATCTGACCAGTGGAAGCATAACTATTCATTAGAAAAGAAGTGTGTTTCTGGTTTTGTTCCCTTGCACTGGATATTTACAAAGATCTTTATTTGTTACATCATTGGAAACACACACACACACATTTTTATATTACATCAAATACTTCAAGTTTCCAGATTTCCTTCAAGTATGCCTGATTGCTCAGCTACCCAAAATGTAAATGTAAATAGCACCATCAAAGCTTTAATAGCTCTTTATATCCTTAATCTACGCCACCTTTTAGAGTAACTATCTACACCTGTATTGTCTAATATAGTAGCCATTACTCATACGTGCCTATCAAGCATTTGCGACATGACTATGCAAACTGAGATATGCTTCAGTGTACGACCCACACTGGACTTCAAAGATTAAGTAAGTACAGGCGAGCCTCAGAGATAGTGCAGGTTCTGTTCCAGACCAACACAATTAAGTGAATATTGCAAAAGAGTTATACAAACTTTTGGGTTTCCCAGTGCTTATAAAAGTTACGTTCACACTATACTGTTGTCTATTAAGTGTGCAATAGTATTATGACTAAAAAAACCAATGTACATACCTTAATTAAAAAGAACTTTATTGCTAATAACGCTAGCCATCATCTGAGCCTTCAGCGAGTTGTAGTAGTCACATCAGAGATCACCGATCACAGGAGTATAATTGCTTTACAATGTTGTTAGTTTCTGCTGTACAACAAAGTAAATCAGCTATATGTATACATATATCTCCATATCCCTTCCCTCTTGGGAGGGTGTCCCTCAACTCTCCCTATCCCACCCCTCTAGGTGGTCACAAAGCACCCAGCTGATCTCCCTGTGCTATGCAGCAGCTTCCCACTAGCCATCCATTCTACATTTGGTAGTGTATATATGTCAGTGCTGCTCTCTCACTTTGTCCCAGCTTCCCCTTTCCCCCGCTGTGTCCTCAAGTCCATTCTCTACGTCTGCGTCTTTATTCCTGCCCTGTCACTAGGTCCATCAGTACCGTTTTTTTAGATTCCATACATGTGTGTTAGCATACTGTATTTGTTTTTCTCTTTCTGACTTACCTCACTCTGTATGACAGACTCTAGGTCTGTCCACTTCATTACAAATAACACAATTTTGTTCCTTTTTATGGTCGAGTAATATTCCATTGTATATATGGGCCACATCTTCTTTGCCCATTCATCTGCTGATGGACACTTAGGTTGCTTCCATGTCCTGGCTGTTGTAAATAGTGTTGCAATGAACATTGTGGTACATGTAGTTTTTTGAATTATGGTTTTCTCGGGGTATATGCCCAGTAGTGGGATTGTTGGGTCCTATGGTAGTTCTATTTTTAGTCTTTTAAGGAACCTCCATACTGTTCCCCATAGTGGCTGTATCAATTTACATTCCCACCAACAGTGCAAGAGGGTTCCCTTTTCTCCACACCCTCTCCATCATTTATTGTTTCTAGATTTTTTGATGATGTCCATTCTGACCAGTGTGAGGTGGTACCTCATTGTAGTTTTGATTTGCATTTCTCTAATGATTAGTGATGTTGAGCATCCTTTCATTTGCTCCTTGGCCATCTGTATGTCTTCTTTGGAGAAATCTCTGTTTAGGTCTTCTGCCCATTTTTGAATTGGGTTGTTTGTTTTTTTGATATTGAGCTGCATGAGCTGCTTGAGTATTTTGGAGATTAATCCTTTGTCAGTTGCTTCAATTGCAAATATTTTCTCCCATTCTGAGGATTGTCTTTTCATCTTGTTTATGGTTTCCTTTGTTGTGCAAAAGCTTTTAAGTTTCATTAGGTCCCATTTGTTTATTTTTTATTTTATTTCCATTTCTCTAGGAGGTGGGTCAAAAAGGATCTTGCTGTGATTTATGTCATAGAGTGTTCTGCCTATGTTTTCCTCTAAGAGTTTATAGTGTCTGGCCTTCCATTTAGGTCTTTAATCCATTTTGAGTTTATTTTTGTGTATGGTGTTAGGCAGTGTTCTAATTTCATTCTTTTATATGTAGGTAAAAACATAGAATGCTTCACGAATTTGCATGTCATCCTTGCGCAAGGGCCATGCTAATCTTCTCTGTATCATTCCAATTTTGGTATATGTGCTGCCAAAGCCAGCAAACACTTTGCTTTTGCAAGTAAATTTGCAAGGATTTAGAATCGTTTCAGCTTACTTCGGGTGCAGGTATAGTTCATATATCCAACCCCTGTGGATATGGTACATATTCCTATATTTAACCAACAGGTGAGACATAAACAGTGATGGTAAAGATGAAGAAAAAAAGCTAGAGTCACTTCAATTCTCTCATTCTATGTGCTCTTAGAGTGTTTATTTCAATTTAAAAGTGAAACAGAATGTGAAATTCAAGCAGTAAAGTTTTAATTTGGCAAATACAAATTTTGGTTCATACATGAAATATATCCATCCCATTTCATGATTATTACTGAAAATAATTCTGCTTATAGAAAGAGACCTCAAAAACAAATCTGTTTCAGGGGATCAACCAGGCTAGATTTGCCAGTTCACTCTCTGAGTTTCAAAGGACAAGCAGCCTCATCTAAAAATGTCATGTTCTATGATTATATCAACACTCATTCTTCATATTTCTGAACTTGGGCAGCTCAGCGTGCCTGAAATCCTGCTACAAAACCAAGCAGGAAATAAAGGAACAAAATTAGTTGATACCAGATCCCTAAATCGTGTTCTTCACTTTATTCTGATGTTTCTTCACTGTGTTTCTCAGAAATGTGGTTGCCCAACCACAATGTAAAGTCAATGTTTCTTTGTAGCTCTGACCCCATCGTCCTCCCCAGCTTCCTTTTATCCTAACAAATTCTTGCAGTTTTCCCCACGATGTACCATGTTCTCCCTCACCTCTGCTTTTGTGTGCCTGTTCCTCCCTCCACCTCCTGCCTTTCTCCCTCTCTGACCCACCTTGTCTGCTGGAAAGATCACTCCTCGTCCTTTAGGACTCACCTCATATGTTACTGTCCCCTGAGGAAACCCTCCTGACAGTTTTGGGCAAAATTAATGATTATTTTCTCAAAGAACCCTTACTATAATCTCTTGATAGCTAATTTGCATGTCTGCTTCCCCTTTTTCCACCTTAGAAGCGGCCCCTGAAGCTCAGGGATAACTTTCTCTGCATTCTCATACCTAAGAGACCCAAAATACAGCCTATTGCCTTGTATGAACGCAATAAATATTAAGCTAATAAATGTATGAACGGGGTCCAATGTCATCCAATTGATGCCCCTAATGAAGACTACAATGATATTGAAAACAAGAAGGAAAATTATCTAAGTGTGGGTTAACTAGAAAACAGTCTGAGGCAAATCTTAGCTAACATTTTTCACGGGGGTGTAGTGCCAGGGCACGGGAGAGAGGGGCAAGAGGGAAGAGAGAGGGAAGCGGGGAAAACAAATACACGATGGGCATTAAAAAACTGGTCCAAGTTTCAGAGGAATAAAGGGAGAGGGTGGATTGGTCAGGGGGATGTCCCTGGAAAAGCCAAATGGGGCTACATGCTTCACTGTCTCAGAGGGAAGAAGGGAAGCAATTCATCTGCCAGCTCCTTCCTGCCTCCGGTATCTCGCTGGTCCAAGTTCACCCCACGAGGTGTCAATTGCACCATGGTGTTTGGCTATGTTACACGGCTTTTTTTTTTTTTTTTTGCAAGCCCCTTGGAAAGCCAGAGCCTCTTGGGTCTGGTGGGGTCAAACCTAGGCTCTGTTGCTACCTCAGTCCTCACCCCTGAGGGTCCTTGGAGGCTAGGCTGAAGCCTGATTCTTGTCCCCAGCAGAGGCAGCAGTAGGATTCAGTGATGGAGGCTGCAGACAGGCTTTGCTACTATAGGACTTGGAGAAGCCAAAGTCAGGAAAAGGGCAATTGACTGAGCACCAAGCAGTTCACCAGAAGTAGGTACACTGAATCCACTAAAAAGATATTAATACTAAATAGCAGCTGAAATGTACTAATCGTTTACATTGGATCTGACTCAATTCAATACTGCACTCTGGGGCCACAACAGTGAGCCAAAAAAAAAAAAAGTAAAAAACACAGTCTGTCTTCATAGGGTCTAAATGGTCTGGCAGGAAAAACAGACATTAATCAAGTAACTGCCAAGTAAATGAAAAATGGCAAATATGAAAAGCAAAGCACAACCAAGCAAAAGTGATGCCACTTTTCAGAGCCTGTGATATGTACTGTTGACCAAATCAGGACATTGGGGAGAGATTCTCTGAGGATATAACAATGAAGTGGGATATTAAGGACAAAGAGGCATGATTGACGTGACCAGAGGACCAAGGAGAACACAAACAGCGGTGATGGTGGGCAGAAGCCCATTGGCAGTGAGGAGAAGGTGTTTAGAGAATGTGATCAAAGCTGACACTTGGGGCCAGGTGAAGGTGGACAGACAGACAGGGGCTGGGTCAAGGGAGGCCCTGAAGTCCATTCTGGGAATATCTCTCCTAACCATAGGAGCAATAGGAAGATACCAAAGGGGTTTAGTAGACTTGTTGTGTGCTACCTGCCAGATTAGGATTGCCAAAAGATTATGCTGACAGTGGAGAAGAGAATAAACAAAAGAGAGAAAAGGATAAAGGGAGACCACTTGAGAAATTATTGTACCTTGGACGGAGGAAGTGACATTGGAGTTGGGAGAAAAAGTAGAAAGATTTGAGAGATGGTCAAATATGACAGACATCTTGCAATAGCCGATGAGGCAAAGCTGGAGAAGGACTGTAGCCAAATGGTCTAATAAGCCTAGTTTTACATCTAGGCTCCTATGCCTGAAAACTGTGGGTTATATGTTGCTTGAATTATCTTTCTTCTGAGTACATCACTTCACACTGTCCCAATCATGTACCGTTTCACATAATCTTCTGAAACCTAGTTGAGCTCTTCTCCCTCTCAGCCAGGTATCCCGCTGCAGAGCAACATCTATAAATGGAAAGATTATTCTTTCATTCCGTCTCCTGTAATGTTTAGTAATATATCAAGAAGAACGCCTACATTTCTGGGATGATACATTTTTTAAAAATATAAATGGTAAGCATATTAATAATAAACAACATCATCTCAATTTTTCTAGTTTGGATGGAGAGAGTCATCTCTATTTTTGAGGAACTTTGCCCAGGTCTGCAAAGCACAGGACAGGAGGCAAAAGAGATGGCCATTTACAGTTTACATGAATGAAGGCAAGACTCTCGACCTCACGGCTTCCTGTGCTCATCTTTACAAAGACAATCGGCTCTATTCACCAGGTTGTTGTATAAGCCAGTGAGAGTTTCCTTTTCTGAGACGAAATCACTTATAACAAGGATCATTATCATTACCACAATAGGAAATTGTAAAAGGACTGTTGAGTGCAGTGCAATGCACTGTAGTGTAGGATTTTTTTTTCCACTGCAACAGGAAACATGATACTATTTTTTAGCGTAGTAATGCTGGTAGCAGAGGAAAATTCATTAAACATTCTTATAAAATACAATTATGATAAGAAAAGACAAAATACAAAGTATTGTGGATGGTATTAAATACTAAACTTGTGTGAGATCTACATAAATCCCATCAGACTTCTAATAGGCAACTTGAACTTGCTTCTCTGGTGATAACTTCTGTTTCACAGTGGATTTTTTTTTTTTTTTTCACAGTGGATTTTATGCTTGAGCTGGCCACACACAATTTCTGATTGATACTTTTTAATGAGGCTCTTTTCAAAGTTTTAATAGTTACCACAACTAAAAACTGTCTTTGTATGGGTAGGTGATAATAAAATGTAAAACTATTTCACAACCATTCAAAATTTGCAACAGCTGAAATTAAATTTACAGAGTCCAAAAGATCTTTCTCTTCTTTCATTGACAAAAGTATGGAGGAAATTTCCTGCGGTAACGAGAATAGATTTCAAATGCAATCAAACATTTTCTTACAGAGTATCTCAAAGCAAAGCACAAGTTCTCTTTGAATGATGGTTAGGACAATTATCTTCTACAGCTGGTTTGGTCTAAAAGAGTGTAAAAGAAGTATCACTGAAAGAACACATCAAGAGCAAATCGAACAGGAGTATCCAACATTGGTGAAAACAGAGACTCTGGGCTCGTCCCTGGAGCTGTGCTTTCCAGACTTTGCAGAAGCCACCTCTCAGCTTTCTTTCCTCTTACGTGGGCTGCAAGCTGTGCTTCTAGGGCACCTGGGAGGTAAACTTGACCTTCAACTCTGCCAATGCCTGGTCCACAAAAGGCAGAAAAGTGCTCCCCTGGCTATGTTTCACATTTAACAGAACAAGAAGAAGCATGTGTTGCTTATTCTGGTCAGTGTCAGCAGTGACCCCCTTGGCCTCAGTCATCAGCCTCCATGGTCCAAAAGCTTCCACGAGTCTGTGAAGCCAATTATCACAGGATCCTGGCACCCACAGAGATGAGTATGACAAAGGTGCCCCAGGAACCCACTCCATTCAAACCATGTTCTAGAAAATTCTAGTTAAAGGAGCCTCTTCCACCCTCCATATGAGGAAGACAAGAGTATGTGTGTATGAAAGACTTGTAAACCCAGCATTACCACATCAGGCATGTTGTCTCCCAAAGGGAGAGCAATCAGTTCAAATAAACACACCCTGGTGCTTCCCCAAATGGTCCTATCTGTTATGCAGTGGAATACAGCTTTATCTTCTAAGCCCATCTAAGAAATGTGGGCATTTTAATTAGCGAGGACAAAACCAAGCTTTTACATCTAAAAGTAAATGTGAGTCACTAGAGCATTATATATGTAGGCTGAAAATAATGATTAAAGATACAATTGCATCCAAAAAACATCTCAGAAACAGATTAGTAAAAATAAAGCTCCTTCATATTCCATCACTCTCAGCAGGTAATGAAGAGTTCAACATAATTCAACTGAGGGTTTTGTTTGGTTAAGAATCGCCCAGTGGAAATCATGCTTCATTGCAAATCCCATCAGTAATGTCCCTTCAAAGTGACTAAATATTTCTTTGACGGGAAGAAACCTCCTCTATTTCTTTTTTTTTTTATTTTAAATTTTCTGCACAGGAAAAAAACTTTAGAATAGAACTCAGAAGAACTTTAATTCCTAATAACACCTCAATAATCTTACATGTGACC